CAAGTACCAGCTTATTATCTATTTAATGGGTAAGTTAATGTAAGTCTGTACCTGCCGACAGGTCCTGGGAATTTGAGGGGTTTAAGTAGACTACTAAAGATTAGTGGGAATTTAGTGACTTTTCAATCTGTACTTCATAACGCTGGTGATTTCAACAGAAACGGCGTATTGTCCACCCATGTGCTGGAGGACAGGCCACAGTAAGTCTGTTGCTAAACTCTCTTTGTGGCAAGACTGAAGTCTACACAGCACTGATGCAGGACTCAGGAACCAAATCACAGTGGACTGAGATATCTAAATCCAGTTAAAATTAAATAACTCCTTATCAACACTATTCAATTATCTGCCCTTTGGGCTTGGATACGGCATATGATTTGGCTTCCAGTTTATTTCACCACTGTAACTCAGACTGCTGGGTCCTGTTTGTCAGTTCTCATGCCTTTTTTCACTCTTTCTCTCCTTTCCACCTTGATCTCTTTCTTTTATCTCTCCCTGCCTTGCTGTTTCCCTGTTATTCACACTTTTGCATTTATTTCTCTGTTTTCTTTTCCTTTTCCCCTCTGCATTTCGTTGACACCGTTCCTTCCTCTGGCCTGCTGGTCAACTTGTTGCCCTCGTGACTTTTTGCACTGCGGCCCACCTGTGCTTTGTGACCTGAGCAGATGTTGCCCATCACCGTGCGCAACATGCCCTCAATAAGCCCTCTAATTCTAAAGCGCCTCAAGGTACATCTCTCTGCCACCCTTCTTACCCACTGCCAAGGATGCCAGCCATTGTCGACCAACTGCCAGCCAAGCCCATCACCAATGCCATTAGTAACCCTCCATGGCACCACTGTGTTTGCTAGCCTCCACTTTAAATGCTGGAAATGTGAGAACAGCAACGGAACTGTTCCACACCTTTACTGGGCTATTCCAACTGCAGTCAAATAGGTCTGATTTAACTGAGATTTTACAACAGTTTCGCAGTTTGACATTTGTAGTCATGATTTAGCATTTATTGGCATACTTAAATACTGACATGCCATTTCTCAAAGCCATGGGCTTTTACATTTGAACGTTCAGCCCTGTGCCAAAGCACGCTTTCCAAGAAATGACAAATTTTCTCTCTTCACCCGGATATCTCCATGGTAATTTTAGACAAGGAAGTGGGCAATTATTAGCACACTGAAAGGGAGTTATCTTGGAAAACTCAAAAATGAAAGAGGTTTTTTCCTGTACTTTCAGTAATGAAAAGTCTAAAACCACAGTGGACAAGGGGGTTTAAAGCTACTGACTGAGACAAACGATGTTATCTCAAGATCCATTTCCATCACATTCTCAAAAGAAAAGACTGTAACTGATTGACATTTATATAAACCTATAAAGTACAGAAAATGCAGTTCTAGAGCAGACATCCCATTCTGCAATTTTCATAATGTCAGTCTAAAAGTAACAAAAGAATGGGATAGAGAGGTTATTTGCCAGGAAAGTGAGGACTGTCCAGAAGAGCCTGCCAGCCCTACTTCCTGCTCTCAAAGCCTCTCTGTGCATTCAAACTGTTATGGCCTACTTGTACACACAGCCCTGGCACAGACCGACCTCGGCTGGCATCCATCCTCTATATTATTCCTACAGGTATATGTGTGTGATTGTGCCAGAATAGTGTACCATGTTTGGAGACAATAGTCGCCATTGTTGAGGGCCACTGACTAAGGGAAAAAGTGGAAATGGCTCCACTTGGAGGACTTTCTGTGCTGATTCCTGCCTGGTCTGGATAGGGATAGTGGAATGAATTCATTTAGTGAACCTCCTTCTGGGATAATAAATCATGTCTACCCAAGCCCTGTCAAAGAATTAATGAAGAAAAGATGGCTTCTAAATTTTAGGATGTGTTACCCGAATTCCGCAACTGCACAGAGGAAATGATGATAAAAAATGAATATTTACAGAGAATATTTGTCGTTTTATAACTTTAATTTGTATCTTTAATTTCTAATGTAGGTGGCCAGATAATTTGAAATATTAAAGCTCATATGTATTTAATTATTGAAAAACAGACCCAGATAAAACATTCTGAATAACTACATTTTTCCTAGCCTGGTGCTAGTTCCTATTTCAATATTCACCCCTGATTTGTTATGATTTTGTTCTCCTTCTGTCAATTTTTTTACACCAAAGAAATTTGTAGCAGGACATGCCTTAGATCCAGGTTCTCACTGTTGACAGGGTCCTGAGAAAACAATATGAGTGAGAAGTTTCCTGGTCAGTGGTCAGGATGCTGAAGCTTTTCAGGTGAACCTAAGCCACATTGGCATGGTTCTGATACATGTACAGCCAAAACTCAATGGCTGCGATTGTTTTCCAAACATGGTTCTCTCTCAGTGAAGTTTAATAACCAACGGTAGAATAACCATTTAAATTACCCCCATTCCAATTGTTGAAAACCACAACATGCTTTAATTTCTGTTTCAACTCAGCCATAAGGGTTTGCTTCCTTTCCATTTCAGTCGCTGTAATTCATCAGGTAAATTCATTTTCCGGTTAAAATCTCTATCATATACAGTAGACTGGAATTGAAACAGAAGGGATCCTATTGCTGATGTTGAATGTGTGAACATAAGAATATGTATTATCTTCTCTGTCTGAGATTGTAATGTGTTGTCTCTCAGCAGGGCGAGCCTGGAGCACAGGGACCACCGGGCCCTCCTGGCCCCCCAGGGCCTCCTGGTAGCCCAGGATTGACTGGTGCTAATGGGCCACCGGTAAGAATCACTAATGGTCTTCCTAGTGTTAGGTCTAATCTTGTAGGTTTTCACTGTAGGTCATCTCTGGCTCTATGTAGCTTTTTTTACGAGTTGTTTCTTGTCTCACAAATATATGAGAATATGTTTTATGATAAAGGGAAAACCTGGAGAACCTGGAAAACCGGGAAAAGACCTGAGGGTAGGTGGAAGCATAACTAACAATCCCTCTTATAGACAGCAAATTTTACAGCAGATTTTATTTAGTATTTTAGTAATCAGTAATGTTTTTGTTGTTTTTTATTTACAGATGTTGACAGGAATGAAGGTAAGCTTATGAAAGGTCTAGAGGAAATATATTAGTTAATGCTGAAACATTATGATAGGACAAAACACTGTGGTGAACTCCTGAAGTGCCTAAAGATACACGTATAATGGCTTCTTGCCTGTAACTGTCAATATTTTGATTTGTCAGACCTCACACAGTACACTTCTAAGGAAGGTTTCTTGTTCAGGTTGATTAATAATCACTTTACGAACCTAGCAATTAATTACATATAGCAATTCGTGTAGTATTACTAATGCAGAGTCCTAACTTTAACCTTTTTGAGTTTTAGTCCAGCTGTGTCAACAGCATTTTTCTAGGTGTTATAAACAGGCTTAAGGTTCAGGCAAGGTTCAGCCATTTACAAGGAGAGTGCAGGCTTGTGCTACCAGTACAGAAGGGATACGCTGCATTTCACCAGTCTGTGTTGCTGTTGGATAATTCTCCATTTCCCCTGATGCATTAATTGCCATGGATTGTTTAGATTGGAGAATTTGAACTGTTGTAAGTTGAAACATGCAGGGCCCATAAAGTAGCACACCCAGGCTCTATATAAAACCAACACACTAGTGTATATCAATAGGAGCCAGACACATCTTTTGTGGATATCCTATATATAAAGGACTAACTCCCTGCAAATTGGCCAAATCATAAATGATATGACTTGACATCATTTGAAAATCAACTAAAACTCTTTACATCAAGCAAAAGAACTTCTCAGTAGAGCATTTATTATGCAATCTAATGCTATTTTGTATTCAACCTGGCAAAGAGATGAATGGCGTTGGATTGTAATGACTATTGAATTATCTCACTTTTTAATTATAGGGAGAACCGGGTGTACCAGGACAAAAGGTAGGATTCTCATGTCAAAGGCATGGATTAATTTATGATCAGATGTAATCAAAGTTTTGTTTTCATGAATATGGAAACCAATTGTATGAAAATTGTATGACAAATGTTTTAAATTGTAGACACTTTTAGCAGTGCAGCAGAACATAGTAATGAATGTCCAAATCATCCATTATCCATCTCATCTGAGGAATTAAGCATGTTCTACCACTAAGACTACTGTGTCCTCTCTGTCCAGGGTGATCATGGTGAGACAGGATTAACTGGACCTGAAGGCCCCAAGGTAAGCTTCGGTCATCTTTGATCATCATGATTACATTACAGAACAGCTCATTTGAACCACATATTAACATCTTTGTGTCAGCTTCCGTTGGTCACAATTAGTAATGTAGTCTTTCTTGGGGAGTTTTCACATATGCAGTGTTTAGTCCATATGAATGGAACCCTGGTGCAATTTCCTCCTGTGTGGTTTGTTTGAGCAGGTGAGAACATAGCAGTCACACTTTAGGATGGGCCAAAACAACCAGTCTGAACTCGTTTGACTGAGGTAGTCTCAGTCCGGTTCCAAGTGAGCTCTAGTGCTGTTCAGTTGCAGTGAGAAAGTGATTTGACTCTGAAGAGACCCAATTGCAGGAAGTGAATGAAACATGAACATTATTTATGGGTTTTGGGGAGAATTTTTTATTTTTTTGTAGATGGTTGCTGCTGAGCTGTGAGGTGCGAACAGAGCCAAAAGACAGCGCTGAAGAACTGCAGAAATGCCATGTGTTCTGGATATCTGGAATGCTGGAACAAAAAGAAAATGAAAATAAAAGAAATTTAAAGCTGGATACAATACAGATGCACATTTAAAGCTAGTTATTTATCCATCCATCCATCCATTTTCCATGCTGCTCATCCTATACAGGGTCATGGGGAGCCTGTAGTCTATCCCAGGGAACTCGGGGCACAGGATGGGGGACACTCTGGACAGGGTCGCACACACATTCACATGCCCATTCACACATTACGGACAATTTGGAAATGCCAGTCAGCCTACAACGCATGTCTTTGGACTGGGGGAGGAAACTAGAATACCCAGAGGAAACCTCTGAAGCACACAGGGCAGGGGTGGGACTTGAACCCCCCGACCTCAGAGGTGCGAGGCAAACGTGCTAACCACTAGCCAACCTGCCCCCACAGTATACACTTGGAAGTTTGTTTACTTTGTTCCATCAGCATATTTCTGGTGATTGGAAGCATGTGATGACATGCAGCATGTACATTTTCAGCCCTACCTGCCCCTCAGCCAACATTTCTTTTGCTTTTTGGTTTGTTTTTAACCGAAAGTATCAATTTCACTCTGATTGGGACCCTGTTAATGGACTAACATGTGTGAAAGTACTCTAAGTAAGCATATATAAACAAATATACATACAGAGGAAGAGAGAGATATTCACATTGAGTCAGCCTCTATCTTCCTGCTTCATATTGATTTCACCTATTTCCAAAGCCTAAAGGACTTTCCCACACTCCAGTATGCCTAGAAACTAGAAACTCGCTTTCTCTTGAATTTAACCATACTTTTATTTGACTTATCCATAACAACCCTATTCACATTTCCTTTCTACCTCATATGTTTTTCTGCACTTCTTTCTCTTTTCTCGTACACATGCTAGGCACTTCTCTGAGTCAGATCTGCCCAGCGTATGATTGACACTTTTGTGAGGATTGCTCACTCTAGCTTAAACTGCCAGTGGTTTTATTATTTGAATATAAATGAACTTTACCACGGAATAGCCCATATGCTTCCTACTGTGTAACCTCTATTTTGAACTCTGAAACAACCTACTACTCCATTCCCTCAATATCTTGTAAACTTTAGATTTCTTCCACAGACATGGATATTTTCCCATGCACCCATCCAAATAAGATCTTGAGCCAGATTATGAGTAATCATCTCATATGAGGCACAGCAGATTTGGGGGAAAACACATTGTTAAGAAATGTTTTTCAACCCAGGTTGAATGTAACCACTCTGTGCATTTTCAGAGAGTAAGTCGTCAGTTTGAACATAGACCATGCCCCCAGGTAGCTAATGTAAGACCTTAGCTGTTAGCACAGCCTGGTCTTTGTCTCAGCTGATGTGCACCTCTAGAGATGCATCAGTGTGAATTTAGATTAAATGTAGTGTCTCCTACCTGACACAAAATGCCTCAGTCAAGATGGGTCTTGACAAGCGAATACCTCATGTCAAGTCAATTGCCTTTTTTAAAACAAAAACAAAAACAGATAAATACAGATTATGTTATGATGCATGGCTAATGTATTTCTGCTGTTTCTTCTTTGTTACCTTAGGGATCCAAAGGAGATCACGGACAGAAGGTAAGATAACTGTGTGTTTCTGTATTTGGCAAATTTTCAAATACTGAACATCATCAGGATATCTGCACTGATCTGTAGGGGTGTAATGCAATGCAACCATCTGTATCTGTATCCGTTTAGTGCTCCAAATATCCATATCTGCATCTGTGTCTCCAACGGAGAAAACTCTATGTGGGCGTGACCTAAACTGGAAGTTTTTCCCCCCTCTATTAAACATATTCTGGCTCTGACAGTTACTAAGTCTCAGCCTTATCATTTGAGTTCTGTTTTTTTAATCCCACTCACATAGTTATTATTTTGTATTTTGTTTGTACCTGCCCGCAATATTTTTTTAAACAAATTTAGTTGGTTCTTTTTCCAAAAAAATAAACAAATTAGTAGCCTAATTTAAACTACAGTGGCCGTCACCAGGCAGTTAAATAGGATGCTGTAAATGCTCGTTAATGAATGTGATCTTTATCTGCCTTGCAAGCTTCATATCTGACCATTTGCTTGCACCCACAGGAAAATACAAAACCTCCCACACGTGCGACTTTTTTGTTGCATTCCCTTTGCACACATTTAGTCTTAACCAGATGTCCTGTGAACTTTTCTGGCAAGCTTTCTAAGAAAGGAATAGTTTGCTTTCTATTGGTATTTGTATATGTATCCATTTGGAAAACATCTGTTCATTCTGAATAATGTATTTGTAGTCAGTTACATCCCTACTGAATGTAGATTTAGAAAAATCTGTTTGCTCTTCGTTGCAAGTAAAAACAGTCTACAGTGAAGTAAGCACAAGCAGTGCAGCATGTTTGGACTATTAGTCGGCTTACTTTAATAGTGACATAGAGGGTAGGTTAATACATTTGCAGTTGTGATTACACCATGCCATTTGGCTCTTTCTCAGGGGAAGTATTTTCAGTCTGTTTACACCTGCTGATGTACAAATAGCCAGTAGAGGCCAGAGAGTATCCTGTCTGTCTAACTAGCTGTGCTGAGTATTGTCTTCTGGAGCCAACAGTGCTACAGGACCTCCAATAGAATGTATCAGTGTGGGCTGCCAGCAGCAGAGTCAGAGACAGGGTGTGATATCTTAAATAAACCCTGGGCTCTTATCAGCATGTGGGGGACATCCTGAGACCAAATGCCAAGTCTCAGTGCCACATTTCAGTGAAGTAGATGGAGCTTCTACCCAGTTCATGGGGTTTAATGGAATTTTCATTTCCCTTCAGGTCCTTTCTCTTTATACTCAAACACACACACACACACACACACACACACACACACACACACACACGCATATACACAACGCTTTCTGTTCTGTCTCAGTCTTCCAGGACCACACATTGGGGTTCTGATGGTTAGATTAAGCACTGGTCTCTTCTTAGCTTTTTTTCTGATTTATAACACATGATTTCTTGTCCAGTATATGCCATGAGACTTTAGGACGATAAGGTCAAAAATATTTATTTGTCCTACGCTACTTTTCTGCTTGTGTTTGCGTGTGTTCGTGTGTGTGTATGTGTGTGTGTGTGTGTGTGTGTGTGTGTGAGTGTGTGTCCATACATGTGTGTGTCCACTATTCTGCTAAAGATGTTTCCATCTGCGTGATGTGTAGGGAGAGGAGGGGAAGATGGGTCTTGCAGGAGAGAAAGGAGAGAAGGTATCCTCTCTGAGTGAATTCACCTTTGTGTGGATCCCAGTATTGCATGGTTTGAACCATGATTCTAATAGCATGAACATCCATAATGTGGAGATAATTCTTATCTTCATTATTATTACAAATCTAAACTTTAACCATAATGACTGGTCTTAAATGTATTAATCAGGCATCTTGCAAAATAGTGTCAAAATGGACCATGCTACAGTGATGATCTTGACCCAATGCATCTACAAATGATCAACTTTACATGTTGCTTTCTAGAAGCAACCATATTTACTCAGTCATGTTGCAGAGAAGCTTTGCCAAAAGAAATAGAACAATAGCCTTTTCACAGAAGAGGAGCTCCTGAAGCCGTATCTGGTCCCCAGTGTTCTGATCTTTAGTCCACAGAGTCCCGTCTGTCTTCACTCATATTCTCACCACAAAAATACACTGCCCCACTTTAGCTTGCTAGACATGTTGCCATGACGGTAACCAGCAGTGGTTACTGTCATGTGTCAGACTCTTTTGAAGGAAATGCAATCCAGTTACTACATCATGAATTACACAGTGTCACCACTCCAGTTGTTCTGCAGGCTAGACTATCTGCAGGAGATAGTGAGGTGCTGACCACGACATCTGAATTACAGTCATCCACCTCAACAGCTGAGAGAGGACCGTCTGTATCCTTTTGATCTCTATTTAATGAGATGAAAGAGAGCAGACCCACTTCACTATATCCCCCCCCCCACCCCACCACGGATTTGCAAACAAACTGTTTAAGGGTTTCTGCCAAGGAAAGACTGAGACTTCAATGATATCATGCAGTGATAAGATGACGATGGATTGTCGTGAGTAGCAACAAAGAGAGAAAATGAGCTTCCTTCTCCTCATTGTCCCTTTCCCAAGCTCTATGAGAAAATATACACCAATTAGAAAACTAGTTGTTTCCACTAGATCCTTCTGTTTGTGTTAAAGAATATAGATTGAAGTTGCATGCTCATATTTCCCTATTTTGTATCATCTTTGCTGGTACTTGTCTACGGGTGTTTAAAATGTGAGGTACCAATGATGGTAAAATTACATATATATATATATATAAAATTTTGTATTTATATTTACAACATATGCTCTATATGCTCATCCATATATATATATCACTATATACATTTTCTCAGCCGCTGTATCATGTTTTTGCAGATTTTGCTCAACGTATTCGGATCAACATTTTTGCTCAATATATTCCCAGTGGTTCCTTTATTTTCAGATACTCTGTACTTTAACAGAGGTTATTTTGTTATGTGGCTCTATATAGGACCCTTAAAGGTTTCTTCAGAGACAAACCCAAGAATCATTTAAGGTGCTGTACAAATAGCAATTGATTTTGGCACTTAGTCTATGTACTGAATGTGGAGAGTAGCTTTCTTCTGTAAGGGTGATGCATTCATGCTCTCACAATTCCACTGTATTCCAAAGACCTCGCCCACATAATTTCACTGCAGAGAATGACAGTGTGATAAATCATCTGTGGATGGCTTCTGTCCACACAGTGCATACTGAACTGATCCACCATCCAAAATAGCACACAGGGGATGGAGAAATAATGATGAGGGATGGAGAAGAAGTCAAGAATGGTGTGAATTGTGCATAAAAGGAGAGGATCAAAGAGACTGGTGATCCCGAGCCTGCCTCCCTCACTGGAAATATTGAAGGCTGCAGGCATTATAGCATCTCTCTGTTTCCCTGCCTTTCACCTTACTACAACTACAAACCCTTAATCTCCACCACGCACTGTCTGCAAAAAAGTGTATGTTCTCTTACACTTCAATAATTTGAACCCATCAGATTACTCTGGCTGGGTCAGGACTGGTCAGTAGTCATGACAAGCAGCTGAGCATGTTGCACTCATGTCTCCAGTCCAAAGCCCCTCTTGAGTTCTTGGGATAATTAGCGCACTCTCATACCACATATCACTTGACAATACACGACCCTTCCAAGATTCTGACCACTGCACCTGTTAGGGTCTCACGTAATCCAAGAGAGCAGTGTGTGTGTGTGGTCAAAGAGGAGATGATTTTACCATCCACTCAGACCCACTGTCCTCTTAACTCTGCACATGGTGCCTGGTGTCCGCCTTCCTGCAGCTGACACATATCCTTTCTGTGGAAGCTTTTGAATTCCTAGAGCA